GCCAAGAGTGAGATTGATCTAGTTAGTGTGAAACTCATTAAGTTTTTTCCTTTTTTTCCTCTGTTGTCGCCTCCTCCCGAGACTCATTCAGGTTTGCTTACCCGCAGAATTCGATGTATTTGTAGATGCAGCTGGCGATTACCATGGCAACAATGGCGTAGTACCAAGAGCAGAGGAACATCAGGGTAAGACACAAGCTCATGCCCAAGAGTGACAAAGCCCTGGAGAGACATTACAGTCCAACTCATGCTCATTTGTCCAGTTAACAATTGCTGTGATTTTGGTGTCAGCTGTGTTTATAATAATAACGATAACCACCACAGGTGACTGTAATCTTAGCGCTGGAAGAAGGACTTAATTATGTGGTGTGATGTCTGTAGCCTTCACTTTAAGGTTAAACTTTACAAAAGACTTTCATCCTCTCAAAGCAATAATTTTGTGAACAAACACACTTTCTGTCAGTGACACAAACCTAAGGGAGCAGGTGTTTGTGTGTGTTCGTACCAGTGGTAGAACTTAAAGCGTGGCCTCCAGTTCGGGGTCCTGAGGAGCGTCTGCAGCGCACAGGCCAGATTTACAAACATGTAGCACATGAGGAAGAACCTGCAGAGGAAAACAGAGCATCAGAATATTCATCAGAAAAATTATATAGAGAAAACACTTCCCCATTTGAAATTCTCATGTTTTGCAGTAATGGACTGCATTAGTGATCATTTATGTGTGTTATATTAAAGGTGCTGAATATTTATGAATTCAGTTATTCTGGATTTTATGCTCATAATTACATTAGACCACTATGTCCAGATCAGTTTGAAATCAATGCTGATCAGCGAAAGAAAGACAAATGAAGTCACTGTGGCTTTAAAGTGTTGAGAAAAAAAAACCAAAGCATGACAAAGTCCATACTTTTATCAGCTGTACATTTGTAATGCATATCTACAAAGGTTATAAGGGGGAATGTAGTGAATACAAAGTGCTGAATTAATGGTATTTTATTGTGCTATATACCTGTAAATAAGTTTAGGAAATAGAGGCTATTCAGCATAGTAAAGAAGTTTTATTACAGCAATATTGAGAAAGTAGAGACAGTTTATTGCTGTTGTTTCTCTGGGACTCATAAAGAACGAGGTGTGCTGTGCAGGGGTGTAGCCGTCATTTCAGAAGTGAGGGGGACAGGAATGTCAAATGTAATATATTGTATTGTAGTGTATTTATTTATTTATTTAGACCAAAACAAAACAAACTTTTCTTATCTCTTAATTGGGAAAAAAACCCCACTCCTGGACAATAACCAATAATTTGTACTATATATATATAATACAAATAATATCACTATATAATACCAATCATGAAATTGTCATTAGGGAATATATATATATATATATATATATATATATATATATATATATATA